CTTTTTTAATGTCACATATCATGACGATGTCAAAGCATATAATAGTTTTTAAACGTGGTAAAATATACACATAGAATATCACGGAATTCTTTGTGGTCACTTTTGAGTTAGTTTTCGCAAAACGCAAAATATTATCATTAAAAGTACGGAAATAGTAGAAAATACGTGAATATGAAAAGCTTAAAAAAATATATAGGCTAATTTTTAGTTATAGAAATTAATAGGCCATAACTTGTCAAGTTATAGTTCATAACCAGATAATTTATGGACAAACTTGTCAAGTTATGGTTCATAGCCAGACAAGTTATGCACAAAAATCGTGAATTATAGATAATAACTTGTCAAGTTATGGTTCATAACCAGACAAATTATAGACGAAAATAATAATTTGGCCTACTTATTAACTTATGTAAACTATTGGCCTATTAATTTTAATTCATCTCAAGTTTTAGCATATTTCTCTCTTTCTCCCTTAAAAGTACACATTTAACAGTGAGTGTCATTTTAACTAATTTTTCTCCAAAAATTGCATAATGTCATAAAAACAATAAAATATCCTTTTAACCAATATATATTGGCTAACATAAAATTTTTTTTCTAATTACCTTTTTATAAATTATTAACAATCATGAAACTATCATATATCATCAAATAATTTCTTTTTACACATTCATCAACTTCTCCAAATAAAAGAAAAAAAAATAGGAATCCCCATAATTAAATTCATAAACAAAGTTTTTCAACAAAATAAAACTACAACAACAAAACAAAAATATGGATTCTTTGTGATCACTTTTGATGATAGTTTTAGCAAAATGCAACTCGTTCGGTTCGCTAATTCGAATTTTTAATTTGAATTGAGATGTGATATTATGTGAGAATTTTTTACTGTAGTAAAAAGTTAGATGTGACTGTTTATGAGAACCTTTTACTGTAGCAAACTCTAATTCTAAATTCGAATCAGCGAAAAGAATGAGGCGTTTAACATCAATTTTTTCTCGTAAAAATTGTGAATGTGTCATTTTAACTAAGTTTTCTCCAAAAATTGCATAATGTCTTAAAAAATAATAAAATATCGTTTTAACCAATATATATTGGCTAACATAACTTTTGTTTTTCTAATTACCTTTTTATAAATTATTAACAATCATGAAACTATCATATACGTTCATCAACTTCTCCAAATAAAAGAAAAAAAAAAAGGAATCCCCATAATTAAATTCATAAACAAAGTTTTTCAACAAAATAAAACTACAACAACAAAACAAAAATATAACCCAAATCCACATACAAGCAAAACCTTAAAAACATAGAACAAAAAAATAATAATAATACAAGAAATTTTAAATATAAAATACTTAAAACTCGTTTAGTTCGCTGATTTGAGTTTTTAATTTGAATTGAGATGTGACTTTATGTGAAAATTTTTTACTGTAGTAAAAAAATTAAATGTGACTGTGTCTGAAAGCTTTTTACTGTAATAAAACTTGAATTTTAAATTAAATCGGTGAAATGAATAGAACTTTAAGAAAATGTTTAGTTTATAGATTAAAATCATGATATTAGAATTATTTTTAATTTATCTGTATTTTTATGAAAGAAAATATTATAATAAATTATAAATCATGATTTAAATTATGGTATGAATTTTCTTAGCAAACGGCTCATAAATTGCAATGATCATGACGGCGATAGGAAACATGGTGGCAGAGGTCCTGGCGGTGATAATAGTAAAGCTGTAAAGGTAGGAGAGGACCATTGCAATTTATTGAAAAAACAGAGAGATGGAGAGGATTTGAAATTTGTAAGCGAGAGAAATAGAAGAACGGACTGAAAAAATATTACCCTTTTTATTTTTATTTTCCATATGACTACGGTTTTTTTTTAATGATAAGCGCCACTTTTAATGATAATTAGATAAAAACTATAATTTAGGTCCCGTTCATTTTACTAATTTGAGTTTATAATTTGAATTTTGTTACAGTAAAAAGCTCTCACAAACAATCACATCTAATTTTTTTACTATAGTAAAAAATTTTCACATAAAATTATATCTCAACTTGAATTACAAACTCAAATCAGCGAAATAAACAGGACGTGCCCTTTTTATTTTTATTTTCCATCCGACTAGGGTTTTTTTTAATGATAAGTGCCACTTTTAATGATAAATAATTAGATAAAAAAACTATAATTTAAGATGTGTGTACGGATTTTCGTAACACAAATTTTCTGTGCCGTGTTGTTTTGTCAACATTAATGACATTTTAGAAAAAGCGTCATCTGATCTACTACACAGATTTGTGAATGACGAAAGTCTCCATGTCTCGTTTTTTTAATTGCATTCTACGACGATTTTGTAGAAAGCAAGCGTCAAATATATATTTAAAAAGTTTACAGTCTAACTTGACAATAAACAAAAAGTTTAAGGCGTGTTTGTGCAAAAATATTAGGTAATTTGCTTCTATTAATTGACGTATGTTAGCTATTAGAACATAATTGAAATAGATTTTTAAATTTCAAATCTTATTTGTTACGATTAAAAATTCAGGATCTAATTTAGTAAACACTATACATTTAAGATGTACTTTGATTAGAAAAAAAAATACATTTAAGATGTACCAGGGCAATTAACCCTTTTAGTTAATACATGCATATTCATATATATACACACACATATATATATATATATGTATGAATATATATCCATTCTGCGAACTCATTGTTTCATAGGGTGACAACATATATATCCATTTTCTTTGATTTTTCTTTTTTATTCCCATAAAAAATATCTATTTATTTATCCTGTTTAATATTTTGACGTGGTAAGCATAAAATTTGGCCACTCACGATACTCCCTTCCCCACTGGGCCACCACTACTCTCTTCATACCTGCAATTAATAAAAAAAAGCATTAAATTATTAATTTATTATTATTTGACGCCCACAAAATACCCCGTAATAATCATAAATAGATCACTGATCAAGGCTTTGTCTATTGATCCTGCCAATTAATATTACCGTATAACATATATAAAAATGAGAAATGTAACATAGAGTTTGCTTTTTTGCATGACCATGATTTAAGTTGTATGAATAAAATAAAAAATTATAAAACAAAATTAAATTTAAATTTATATGAAAAAAAATATTATAATAATATAATTTAAATCATAAAATGAATAAGACGATAATATTCACCGGATATAGTATTAACACAAATTTCTAGGCCTTACATAAATGTGATGGTAAAATTTATTGAACTTTGAACTTCATCATGGGTTATTGAATTTTTAAATAATAAAAAAAGATGGCCAGCTGAATGACATCAGTCTTACATGAAATCATGGTCCTGCACCATAGTATTCTAGATTTTTTATTATTATTTCTCCTTTCTTTGTTCATATCATATGTAGATAACATTCTATTAAAAGCTTTTTTTTAATAAATAACTTTGGTAGAGTTTTATCTACACATGATATGAACAAAGAAAATAATAATAATAATAATAATAATAATAATAATAATAATAATAATAAACATTCTATCAAAAGTTCTAAAAACTTGAAAACTAATTCATGCACCGACACCTTAAAAAGGTTTGTGGTTGTAATCCAAATCCTTATAAAGTGGCACATGATTCATAACGAGTGCCCCTTTCTTCTTGTCCTGCCTACAATTGCATGGACCCAGAGAAAAGACAGATCCACTTCAAGGCGAAAATTGATTACTTTTACCGTTCTTAAATTAAAATGAGAAATATTTTTTGAAATAAAATTTAATTAATAAGGTATTTGCTTTAAATCTTAGGCCACTTTAAATTAGCTAAAAGTGAGATGTGTGAGTGTACATATGTATCTATGAAATGAAATCTTAGGCCACTTCAAATTAGCCCCACACATTATGTAAAAAATAAAAAATATAAAAAGTACTTTAATAATAGTGTTTGCTTCGGGTTGTTATTTTGAAATAAATTTATCAATTTTGCACATCTTTTATTTTGATATGATTTCAATAAAATTTAACGTTCATGAACCTGTAGAAAACTCATAAAAAAAAAGCTTAAAAAAGCTTTTTTAGTCCAACAATTCTAGAAATTCCATTTAAAAAAAAAAACAGTTATAGAAATTAGGAGGAGAGAGAGAAATACGTCAAGACTTGAGATGAATTAAAATTAATAGGTTAATAGTTTACATAAGTTAATAAATATGCTAAATTACTGTTTTTGTCCATAACTTGTCTAGTTATGAACCATAACTTGACAAGTTATTGACGGGTTTTGTCCATAACTTGTCTGGTTATGAACCATAACTTGACAAGTTATTGACGGATTTTGTCCATAACTTGTTTGGTTATGAACCATAACTTGACAAGTTTGTCTATAACTTATCTGGTTATGAACCATAACTTGATGAGTTATGGCCTATTAATTTCTATATATTAAAAATTAGCATATATACATTTTTAAGCTTTTTATATTGGCCTATTTTTACTATTTCCATATAAATTAATGGGATAGGTCCCATTTGGGCCGTTATATTTTATAGGTCTCTAGTCAGACACTTGTATAATTGTGTATAAATTGTGTATATTTATACGTAAATCATGTATATTTACATGTAAAGTCGTGTATATTTAATGTGAAATACAACAAATCAGTCAATATACATATTTTTATGATATGTGTTCACTAATTGCTATAAAAAAACATATTTTGAGGATTAATATACATTATCGTTTCTTATAACTTAACATACACGATTTATATGTAAATATACACGATTGCATAATTATATAAGTGTCATGTAAATATACAATTTACTTATAAATATACATAACTTACTATAAATATACATACTTTATATAAAAATGTACAAATACCGTTCTGATTAGGCACAGAGACCTTGCCTAAAACTTAACCCTTAAGCAACAAAATCTTCTTTTTTCTTTTTCTTTTTCTTTTCTTTTCATATATATTTTGGATAAGTAACTAAAAAGGCAAAAAATCTTCTTACTACTCTACAATAAACAAACAGCTACAAAATCCTGGTGCAACGATTTCTCAGAAAAATGCTCTCTCCAACTCCAAGAAAAATTCCTCTCCCGTCCTTTGTTTCGATCGTCCTTTTGATTTTGATTTCGATTTCTCAGATCGCCATGGCAGATTCCTCCGAATCCACTCCAAGCTCCGGCGTTACTCCGGCCTCATCCGAAGCAGCCGTTTACATCGTCTACACCGACCAGGACAATAGCAACGAGGACCCTGAGGCTTATCACGTTCGAACCCTAACCTCCGTGCTGGGAAGGTTCGATTCGGTTTTCTCTGTCTGTTTGTTTCCCGGGAAAACTTTGAGGATTTCGATGGATGGAGTGGATCTAGGGATTTAATTTTGTTGATGTGGTTTTCCTTTTGAAATGTTTTAATGGAGCTTTTGATTTTTGGTAAATAACAGTGAGGAGGCGGCGAAGGGGGCTTTGATTTACAGTTACAAGACGGCTATGCATGGATTCTCCGCTAAGCTCACTCCGGAGCAGGTCGCCGAGATTTCAAGTGAGTTTTTTTTTTTTTTTTTTCATCTGTCATTTTTTTATGTTCATTTTGTTTTTCCTAAATTTATTCTGTTTGTCTAAATCTTTATTAACCTATTACGTTTGCGTTTGGAAGATGTTATGGTGTATACTTCTGCTTCATTTGATGTGTTTGTTTGGCTTTTTCTTTCCTCTTCTTTTTTTTTCTTAATATTTTATATTTTCGTTTGGAAGTGTTATATAGTGTATGGGTTCGCTTGATTTGATTCAATTTTTATATTACTAACCAACTTTTGTTTGTCTGCGTGAATGGAGAAAAATAATGGGAGTAAAGTTTATTTGGTGACGGTGTACTGTGTACACTTATAATTGCTCATAAGTTTGCTCTTTTTTTTTTTGGGTGCTTGAACCTTAACTGCTTTTTATGTCATTATTGAGTTCTAGACTTGGATAATTGGAATCTATGTATGAGCTTTACTAACTCTTTTGCCATCAAGTAGAATTATATTTAACCAGTATGCCAAAAAAATGGCATCGTATTTGATAAATCTTTTAACCTTGCTGCTTTCGATGTATTTTTAAAGAAAATGGCTAGCTTTTAAACCTTGATAGTTAAATTTTTTCATAGAGGGTAGGTATTTAATCTGGGGATAGATGTTTATTGGTACTATGTTACTAAGCTTTTATCCATGTTGACGTGGAGCCACGCTGCCCCTGGTCAAGGAAGAAAATGTGGACCAGGAAGAAAATGTGGTTGCAGGCATTGCCTGGTAGTAATCTACGTCTGACTCCCCTTTGAGTAGTGGAGTTCAAATCCCCCGTTCCACGTTTTCTAGAAAAAAGAAATCATTAATAATAATTAGAGGAAGAAGATAGGAAACATTGAGATCCTTGTGTTAATGTTATGTGGTATCCATGGTCAGTCGTGATCCTCAGGCTAGTTTTGTTTTTTGTTTTTTTTTTTCCTTAATTAATCCTTAGACTAGTTGTAAACACTTTTAGATCAGAGGATGCGTTAGGTGAGAGTGTTGCTGCTGTTTGTCTCTGAGTCATTAGAGGAAGACAATTCAATAAAGGAATCTCTTTATTTAAGCACTGTAATAGTTACGAGGAGCTACCACTTCAAGAATATGTTTTCATTCTGTAAAAGTAAGACTAAATAATGGGAATTACATTTTGCAACTGAGTAATAAAGGGTAAATAGACAAGTTGGCACTTGAAAGTTCCAGAGCTTATTATCATCAGGTAGTTTTCTTCCTAGTTCTTGTGTAGCCATATTAAAAAGCTCCTATGCAGTATGTATCATAGGTCCATATGTTTTATGTGTCGACCCAAATACTTTCAACACTTGAGGTGTATTAGTGATGCTTCTAAAGCAGACAAAAGTTTGACACTTTCTGGTTGATGTCATTGCTATTTAAGATGCCATTATGCAACCACAAAATCAGTATATCTTCAAGCAGACAAAAGTTTGACACTTTCTGGTCGATGTCATTGCTATTTAAGATGCCATTATGCAACCACAAAATCAGTATATCTTCCGTCTCCACAAATCATGTGAACATTGCCCTTTCCAAGTAACAGTTTAAGTTGGATTACATGGAACAGGACAACTAGTGAGATAACTGTATACGGTGAATTTGATAGAGGAATTGGTTGTAACTTGTGCTATAAGTGCAACTATGATATAAGCGCCAGTTGAGGCTAGCTTAAGTTGTTGGGCATGTGAGTTTGAGCGTGCGTCCACCAAGGTCCGAATTCTTGTGGTTCCATTTCTTGTTAGTAAAGTGGGAGCCATAGGGCCCACACCATGTTAAAAGAAAAAGAAAGAAGGAAAAAAAAAAAAAAGAGTTTAGAATTTGTCATTTTTTTCTCATGATTGAGGTATTGATTTTAGTTTTGTTAACTTTTGACATTCTCTCACATGATTGCGGTATTGATTTTGGTTTTTGTTAACTTTTCATTGGCAGAACAACCGGGCGTTCTTCAGGTTGTTAAGAGCCAGACAGTCCAACTGCATTCTGCAACAGCGTCGTTTAGTTGAA